TCAAGCAGCAGTTTTTCTGAATTGTCTATAATGTCACGCAAATGCCACCACTCATGCCACAAGAAGCAACAATACATATAAATGGATAGCAGCATTGCTTTGGTTGGACTTTTTTCTCAGCAGAAACAGAAATGAACCTTTATACTACGATAAAGTAGTTAAACAGACAGACAGATATATAAGACAATTAAGAAATGCAGTAGTCTACCTGAACTTAATGAAGATACCAAAATGTGACCTGTCTTCTGCTGGTAAGGTAAGGCACTCTCTGAACTACTTTTCAAAGCATCTGGTTTAAACTGAATTCTGCTATGTCAGGCACCGAGCAATCAATGAATTATATGCTGTTTCAGAGAGAAGGAAGAAGAGAGAAGAAGAGCTCCCCATATGGGAAAAGGAATTGCAGCAATATCACCTCCAAGTTTTAGTTGAAATACGTGCTATAAATGCACCATTACCTTATCTTCTTTGTCCAAAACATATTCTCATAATATTTAGCAAGCAGGCACACTACATGCTTTGACATAGCAACTAATACAAGTTACAGGTAAAATCATGGGTCTTCTGAAGCTGTGAAATTTACACAGTTAAACTTGCATTAGGATTTAATTTCCAAGCCTTTGTAAAAATGGCTAAGCGAGAATTGAGCCCACCCGATAGATTATCAAAACTTTTAACCACTTGCACCAAGGAATTGCACAAGTCCCTATTATCAGCCATAAAAGAAATGCAAAAGTAACCCAGATCATCCAAAACATCACAAAATCATCAAAAGCATTAGAACCAAAAGGTGGAGAGACCCAAACAAATGCCTCCACAATATTTAAATTATGACTTAAATAGAAGTAGTTTCATTAGGATACAAATGGCTTTAAACATTAGTCTTTTAGTCCAAAATCACAGCACTTAAAACTCTCTTGGCTGATGACAGCAGTTCCACAGATTTGTCATTCCTGACTTCTCCTTCCTGGCACTACCCTTGGGCCAGCATCATGAGTTGGCTGCAAGATACTGTCACAATACACCTCTGAATTTTGCAGCTTCCAAAGCTCCCATAGACTTCAACTCTCTGAGTGGATGCTGAAAACTTTAAAAGAAATCTCAGTATCCAGAGTCTTTATTTGCACCAGAATGATTTCCCTCCATACAAGTTAGACAAGAATAAAATTATTCATGTTTGGATAAGGGTAAATTCACTCAGCTAACAGCTGTGCTGCTGGAGATGCTGTCAAACACTGACAAAACTCAAGGGATTGCTTGAGGTAAACTTTAATTATTCAGCTAGTTTTGGTAGTTGAACTACCAGTTAAACACTGACATTTAGACTGGTGAAACTAAACTGGTTTGTTGCCAACACTGTTGATCTTAGCACATATAGAGTATACAAATATCTTTCACTTACTGGGGAGGTGGTAGACTTCTGGTAGAGGAAGCTGATGTCTTACATCAATCAACTAAATCACTGTAGAGACTCTGAACTTTGTTTTGCCTGTTTCACCTTTTCATTCATATGCTCACTTCAACTTCTGCCTTCTGCACCCTTCTTATCATCCACTGAATACTTTCCCTTCCTCCTTTCACAGGAGGAGTCATCAGCAGCAGGGATTGATCCCTCCAGTTCTGTTTACTTTGGCCTAATGCACCAGACAAAATGAAGCTCTGGTAACACTGTATGTGATGTAACACTGCTCTCTGACAAACAAGATGTTGGTGCTTGGTTTCCAATGCCACTGCATAAAAGCCGCCTTCTTTTCCTAGGGCTGCCCTAACAAAAAGCAGAGCACTGTCATTTTGCTAAGTAATGACAGTGACAAATATGTTAAAAATGCAAAGGTCTGGTGACCTGAGAGCAAGATTAGAGCTTCTCTTCCTGCCTTCACAAAACATTTTACCATGGGTTCACCTTGCAAATCCTAAGCCATTCTTATGGGAACGTGAGAAATAGCTAGTGTTAGTGCCCTGTGTTGCCTCATTTTCAGAAAGCCAGTGTTGCTCTTGTAGACGCTCTGTCAAGACATTGCACAGTATTAGTTATCCAGGGTACAGGATATGATCTTGAGATCAAAAATGCCAGCAAAAATCTCGAATTAGTCCTAATTTTACAGTGTAATAAAGCGGTAATGCTGCCATACCTTTTTCTCTTTAGTAGGCAAGAAGTGATTGCAGTGCAGATGATATTTTATTGAATGAAGAAAATCACAGGCAGGTGACTTAGGAAGTCAGGAAACTATTATATAAACAATTCCTCTGTTAACCATGAGGATGGAAAGCATTTTCTTCTTAATTTAATGTAGAATAACACCTGAGGCACCAACCAGAAAGAGTAAGAATGACACTTATCACTTCATCATGAAAGCTGTTTTTCTCAGGTGATTTTCATTTGTGATCACTTGACCTCTGATTTAATGGAAGAATTAATGTTATATAATTTTCTAGTTTGGAGGCAAGTCTGTCTTTTAGTGTACATAGCTAAAACATTATTTTCCTTTTTATGCATTTTCAAAATGTAAATATTCTATTTTCTTGCCTAGTACTTAGAACAGGTACATTTTCCTTCTATTTGTTACATTTATTAATCAAAATAAAATGAGTGAAACTACAGAAGTTTTACCCTAAATGGCTTTTCTTCTAAAACCATCCACATGTACAGTGCCTATTCCAGGACTCCAGTCTCCAGACTACAATGATCATGCCTCTCTTCCCACCTAGACACCATCAGCCATCATCATCCTTGATGTAAGTACAAAACACCTCTCAGTCACCCTGTACTCCTGCTTCCTTCCAGTTTTAGCGACATTTTTGCAGTGTTCCTGGAATCTGTCAGCCCAAGAAAAAATAGATTTTTATCCATGTTGAAATAATCACCTCTCCTGCAAGATCTTTTGTTGCCTTATTTTCACTGCTTTCATAAGCTCCCCTGAGAACTGTATGTCTGTATGTTCCAATCTTAGCAATTTAAAACTTTAAGGGAACTTTCTACATCTACCTTGGAGCTTTCATGACAATATAGAGGAGGTAACAAATTGGAACTTCATCTGACAGTATAATTCACGAACTGTGAAGAAATTTCATTTGTTAACCATCATTAATATTGATTTACCATGACAACTACACAGCATCTACATTTCTCTTTTGTGAAAGTTAAGATGATAAATGATGTGTGGTGGGTCAATTCTGGCTGGATGTCACATGCCCCCCAAAGCTACTCTATCACTCCACTCCAATGAAAAGGGAGAGAAAATGTAACAAAATGCTCTTAGGTACAGATAAGAGCAGAGAGAGACCATTCACCAGCTACCATCGTGACCAAACAGACTTAATTTGGAGAAACATTACTTGACTTTATCAGCAATCAAATCAGAGAAGGATAATGAGAAATAAACCCAAATCTTAAAGACACCTACTCTCACCTCTCCCTTCTTTCCAGTCTCAACTTCACTTGCAATTTTCTCACCTCCTGTGGATATTGAGGTAGACAGGGAGCTGGCTTCACCTGCAGATGCAGAGCTTCAGCTTCAAACCCTGGAAGACACCTAGCTAAGAGGAAGGACATCCTTACGTTGTGGTGAGAGAATAGAGAGAAGAGTTGTCTTATGGGAACTAATATGTTAATCAGTTTATTACAAATAAGCTGTTGTTCTTGGTTTTGATATATGGTTGGCTGGCTGCCAGCTACATATATGGTTCTGTTCCTTATCCTCATTATTGATTAGATCTTGTACCCTCCAACTCAGTGCTTTCCAAGTTTCAAGGTCTTTGAAGGTTGCCCTTGTACCATGCGGTTTCTACGTTTGTTATTTTTACATTAAAAGTTTTTGGTTTTTGGCAATTCCATCATTCCCACCTCTCTATATCTTCTACCACAGACTCCCTGGCTGGCCTGGTCCTGTTATACAGGCCATCCGCAGCAGCCATAACTCCTGCCTAAAGCAGCACAGGGGGATGAAATCAAGGGCTGTGGTCAGTTTATCACATACTGTCTCTGCTGCTCCCTCCTCATCAGGGGAGGACTTCCCACACTCTTCCCCTATTTTAACATGGGGTCCCTCCCACTCTGTCACACATGGGGCAATGTTCTGGCAGCTTCTCAGAAAAGCCACTCCCGTAGACCTCTCAATACCAAAACCTGGCCATGCAAACCCAATAGACGAGGTTTAAAAAAAAATGTAAATCAGAGCTAGTTCCTTAAACAACCATTTTGTATGACACACCCTCTGCTTTAAACGGAATTATTCCTGGATTGTAGTGGTGCTGGTGAACTAAACCAGACATACTGAATATTAAGAGGGCAAAACCTATGCTATAAAATTTAATGACAGCCCAACACCTACCTATGTCTTAAACTACCTAAAACAGTGCTAAAAAAATTGACCCCAAGTGCCTAATAGTATCAAATAAGGCTTATGAAAGGAATGTAGTTCTAGTAATTGATCTGTCCATATGAAATAATTATTTTCATTTATTAAGAAATCTCTGAAGCTGTAGGTATGTTACCAGAATGCAGACACATGACAACACAGGAAGACAAGAGACAGAAAAGAAGAAGGTATTGGTGAGATGGACCAACCACCCCAGTATGTTGGATCATGAGTGTTACTATATACCACAAACACTGCTCCTTCAGATGACTAGGTTTTCACTACAGAACTTAAGGCACGCAAATAAATTAGTCACATTAGATGGTGAGAGATAAGTTGTCCCAAGTTCCCAGACAGAACTGTGACACATTCTGGAGGTGACATCTAGCATATAACATCAAGTCCTTTATCATTATTTTAGTAATCATGTAATATATCCAGTAGACAAGTTCTGAGATTTATCTAGTCTTGAAACCTCCCAAGTCTCAAAATCTATGTCATTTCATAGTGATCTTGACTTAACAGAAAACCCAAAGTTTCTTGCACACATATAAACCCCAACAAAACAGGCAGATGTAATTCACACAGGATACACCTACAAAGAATAACCATAGTGACAGTTTAAAAAAACTTTCTTCTTACCTGCTGCAGCTTCAGAACTGATGTCATCTTTAACTACAGAAGCTGGACTTAGCAGCAGAACATCCTCATCAAAACTGATCAGATCTCCTTCCACATCTAGTTTATTTTGTAAAGCAGGTGCCGAGGAGTTGGCTGCAGGGGACAATTCCCCCTGAGACATTAAAACATTTTCTTGGGCAGACAGAGAAGGCCGTGGAGGAGCAGCAACTGGTTTTAGTGAGGCCAAAGAAAGGACAGGATCTTCTGAGTAACATGACTTTTTAGGAACAAGAGGTCTTGGAGCAGGAACAGGAAATCTCTTCTGTCCATCGCTGCTTTCTGCAACTGATCTACTCTTTGTATCAAGAAAATCACTACTGCTACTTTTAAGAAGTCCAGGCTTTGGCTTCTTTGGCAGTTCAGGTTTGGTTACAACACTGCTCCCAACTATTTCAGGCTGAGGCTGCAGTTCCTTGGAAGGTGTTGATTTGCTTTCAGTCCATGCTTCCCACTCTTCTGAAATTCTGCCTACCCCTGGCTTTGGAACAATCATTGATTTCTTTGCAGTAACAGGTCTTGGGACAAATGAACGAGGGGCAATTTCTGGCTTTTTGGATGATCCTGAGATATCATTAGTGCCTTGGGATTCAAAAACTTTGATCCTTGAAACAATACTATTTTGACTCCTTTCTGTACTCATGCTGTCCATCACCAAGTGATTGTCTAGTAAGCTGTCTTCATCTAGAAGAGGTGACTGCTGAATTGGAGGTTGATGCTGTTTTGCAGTAGACTGGTTCACTTCTTCAACACTGTCTATCTTACTTTCAGTACTTTTGACCACTGGTCTGAGATTGATTCTTGATCTCGGCTTTGGCACAGGACACATCACAGCACTGGGATTTTCTTGGCATCTCTGACCTTCATGATTTTCCAAGACTATTAAAGAATTCTCATATTCTGCAGGAGAGTTACTCAGAAGAGATGCAGGAGGCCTAGGAGGTTTAAGAGGACTCTGCCCTGCTAAAAGAAAATAAAAGCTTTTACTTATCTATTTCAGAACATTTAATTTGTGTTATTTTTTGACAGACATCAGGATGGTAAAAATTATGGCTTTCATTGAGAACTCTACTGGTGCTTGTAAAAATACAGTTCTGTCCCTAAAAAGATGAATGGAAAAATATATGAACTTCAGGAAAAAGCTGAAGATTGCTGAAATGCATGGTATCTACAAGTTGAGTTCAAAACCTCCTGTTAACTTGCAGCATTGAGGGGCATGCAAACAAACTCCAGACCAAAGAAGAGTACAGTAGCTTCCCCAGCTTGGTTTGCACGCTTTTCAGTCTGAATGTATGAAGTGCTGCTGTTTTGATAAGGTATCTGAGCTCCTCTGGTCCCAAAGTTCTGATTGTCATTTTGGCTGAGTTGAAAAAAACTTTCAAGATTCAATGATACTCTGAATGCAATAGTAGTTTTTCAGAAGAAAGGATTTTTACAGAAATTTACAGTAGTAATAATTCACAGAAATTTAACTGTTATTAATATTAAATCCTGCACAGGCCAACAATAAAGTGCATCCTCAGGAGACAAGAGTAAGGTTTTCATCACGGAGAAATCCAAAACAGCCTCACCTTGACAGCTTGATCCCCAGTATGTAGGCACACTAGTTTTTACATTACTTCCTGGCAAATGGCTGATTAGTTCCTCTGGAAAGTCAGTCTGTGTTGCAGAAGTAGTGGTTTGTCTAGAAGCAGCAGCATTATTGTTATTTGTTGTATTGACTTGCACTCGACTGATTTCTTTTATCACCTGCTCATACGATGGCGGAAGCTACAAAACAGACAGATAAACATTAAGGTACATCCAGATATGATGCTTTCAAAAAAAATGGCATATGAATTAAAAAAATACTAAATTAACATATACAGAGGAAAAGAACACTGTCATAGTCTTCTATTCAATGTGATGATAGTCCGAGCAAGCAAAAACTTTTTCTCTCTAACCTAATAAGCTTTTTACCTTTGTAAATCAATCAATGCCTCATGTAAATTCACACTCACCTCAGCTGGAAAATGCTCATTTCTCCTCCACTGAGCATGAGATGAAACAGAGGGGAATCCTAATCCTTGAGGAGTGACAGGACTTGCACCTGGAAACCAGGAGGATGGCCGGAGGGGTTCAGCAGCAACTATTGTAATTTCAGGACGCCTGGAGATGGAGGCAAAGGGGAATAATTACCTAAAACATTTAGGTAGTAAAAATAGTTCTTTTAAGTATAACAGACCAAGGTTTTCTTGGAACAGGAAGTAAAATTAGCTCAGGTTTTGATTTAACTAAAGGTGTCTTTCCATGACTTCAAAGCAACTTACCTGACCTTTCTAACAGACACTTAGGCTTCCATTCAAAGCCTCTAATTAAATCTCTTAGCCAAAAAGTAGGTTTATTTGCTTCAATGAAATAATTTAAATGTTCAAAGTACTTAAACATAAGTGTAACTCAATTAGATGGCAGAAGTCTTAGTCTTCACGAGATAATGAGAACTAATCATGTGTTTGCCCTTAGCCAGCTACAATATGAAAACAGTAGGGTAGTTAAAACTGCTTCTGGGACAGATACCTAAAAACTGGTGTATCCTCAGACCCAAAGGGAAACCTTCCAGGGTGCTAAAGTGGGACAGAGCAAGGCCTTTGGAACAGGGGCTATTTGCTTCAATCACAGTACTACAGAGACTTCCGTGAGAGTGAAGGACCCACAGGTAGCATCCCTGTTTTATCACTGCACCAGCTCTTTCAGAGCATCAGCTGCAGGGATGGCCCATGCTCCCAGGTCATGGTCCTGCAGCACCACTGATCCATCCAGAATGCCACAAAACTTTCACTTTGAAAAGGGACTTCTGTGAGTAGATAAACCATCTGCTTACAGAAGCTGCTGTCTGCTGACAGAAAAAAAAAAGCTGCAGAAGGATAAATTCTAACAGCATTTAAAAAACAATTTAAAAAAAGAAGGGTACAGTTCCTTCACATCTAAAATAATGGCAGACTCAGCTCACCAGCCATCCAGGTTAGTGACCTCCTTTCTCAAAACCCTTTAAGAAACTGAAAAGAGGCTTGAAAGTGTGCTTATTTTCATTGTGAAGGGATCCCACACATTCACGTCAACAAAACAAGACAGTTCTGCAGAGGCTTGATGGTTAGTTGCTTTCCCTTTTTGAGGACACATACAAAAGTTAATGAGAGAATTCCTCAATCTCTTAACCTATCATGCTTAAAAATCGAAGTACTTCTGTTTTTTTCCAAGTCTACTCTAAACATACTAAGGGTACAGAGAAGGAAAAAAGCAACCTAGAGGAGAAAGGCATAAAAAGCAATACTATGACACAATCTATCAAGTTTTACAGTACCACCTGAGTGCAATATAAATAACAGCATCATACCTTCTATCCCTCTGTTGATCACTATGGCTAGAGGTCCGAGAAGCTATTTAAAGAAAAGAAACAAAGTTTTCAAGAGGTTAAAATATACTGTCACAGCAATGTGAGGATAATAGTATAGCCCTTTACCAATCCAGTATCAACGAAATGCAGAAAATAGAGCCTCTGATCCTAAATCCCAGATTTTAAGATGGGCCAAATTTAAAAAAAGAACTATTTGTATTAAATATGAGAAGTCTTTTAAAATATTCAAAGTGGAGTTTCATAGTAATTTTAAGTCTCTCTATGTCCAAGTTACCACCAAGAGAGATAGCCCTATCCTCTGTCTTCTTCATTCTCACACCTTCCTATATTCTGCATTGTGGGGACCCTAGAGTTGAAACTTCTTTTCCTTCCTTTAAAATGATACATGAATTAAACAAAAAGAAATGTTAAACACATCAGGCTTTTCTTTTTGATGGATAATTTCTGAGATGTGTTCTTTAATGTGTAATTTAATATCTCTGTTTGTTTTATAGAAGGGAAAGGTACTAAGGCATAGAATCTAAAAAGATATTTCACCTTCTTTCATGTAAAAAAAAATAAATTAAATGTTCCCAGCTAGATACTTGCTAAAGTTTAAATTACTCATGGATTAAGAGTCAGAAACAATTTTATTTTCTAACCATGTGTTTTAAGTTACATAAAATAAGCAAATCTTCATTTTTCTGGTTTTGCCATATTTACATTAAAATAATTTTTTTCACTGGCCATATTGCATTTTCATTTGGATTTCTTTAGAGAGAAAAACAAATTATCCAAGGGATACATTTTTTGTATAGCAAGTGCAATTTAAGGAAATGGTAGCATCTTATTGTGCAACATCACAGCACCATTAGCTGAAATCAGCAAAGCATACTTGATTGAAGTGTTGTGTCAGACATACCTCTTCGACAGGGCATTTTGGATGTGCACTATTCATGAGTGCTAGAGGAGAAAAAGAAGGGGTTACAGAAGACAAAGAGGAGGTGAAAGAGAACAAACCAAAGCTTCAGAGTGCCAGAGGCCATGATCAAATGGGTTAGTCATGCAAAGGTAGTGCATATGCCACTGTTTTAAGGGGATAACTGCAATGTCTATTCACAATATAGTGTCCTAAAAAATGAAAATAAAAATACATTTTATTTCTAGTCGCATGCCAATTTTAACAGTAGCTATTTAGAAGTTTTCCTTGCAATAAATTAACCATGAAGAATATAACTGAACATGGAAATGTCCACTGAACAGCTCAGCAAGGAAACACAATGGGAATGAGGAGAGTGAAATCAAATCTCTTTGAATGCTTTTTCTATTTTAAAACTCTGGTTTATTTGGGTCCCTTTTTTCCCTTCCCAAAATAATAAATTACACTGAAAACTCCACACAGGTGCAAAGAAGTTGGGATCCCATAATTTATACTCTCACCTACCACAGATGTATGGGCAGGCAGGTTGATGCCAGCAAGAGGCATACCTCAAATGATTTCACATCTAAATCAGTTCTGTAAAAATTGTTTGACTAAGTAAACAAACACCTCGCCTTCACTTTCTTCTTCAGAGATTTCAACAAAGCACTGATCTAACACACATGTTAGAGGAAAAAAACCCCAAACCGACTCAAACCAATCAAATCCAAGATTACTTTTGCAAAGATGATGGAAAAAAGTGTTCTTTTAGTAAATTTAGTCAATACAACTGCTTGGGTTATAGCCCAATTCCAATGATAAAGGCAGGAGAAATAAAAGCTAATTAAGGAGGAACGTAAAACTGAATTGATAAACCTGTCACCTTACTTCACTATTTCTTGATTTCTGGATAAATTCTGCAAGTCTTTCTTCCTGTGAAACTCTAAATGTGCTTCTATTTATCAGAGTTATTAAACAGGAAAAACCTTTTTCCTTTCTTACCATAGGCAAAAAAAAAAATCCAGTGAGGTATCCATATAACCCATTAAGCTCCAAAATTCAAGTAAACAAATAAACTCTCTTGAAAACAACACATTTAAAATATTTATATAAAAATAACTTCACTAGTTTATCTATTTATACATATATATATATAAACATGCCTTCTTAAAAGGACTAATGCCCAAGCCATCATGTATATTTTCACAATGTACTCATTTTTCTGGAAAAAGTCTCTCTCAGGCATTAATGAAATCAAGTTACTTCCATGTATATAAACTATTAATATACACATTTCTTTTTTAATGACACTGACAAAGGTCTTCCCTTCTTCTGTCAAAATCTCCTCTACTTTTGCTGTCACATTATTTTACAACCACACTTTTAGAACATATTTTGTTTTGGAAGCTCTTAAGAGGTTTTAAATCCACAGTAGAAATAGAGATGAAAGCTACTGCATCTTCTGCTCTCAGGTATTCCACAAATGCTACAGAAAAGAAAATACAAACTTTCTAAGTAATCCTTGTCCCCAGACTTCCACAGCTTTTATTCCTTCACTATTTCAAATAAATTAATTTAAGTTTAAAAGTGCATGAAAGAAGACATGAACTGTTAAATATTGTACACACCTGACTTAAAAAAACACAGGAAAAAAACCTACTGCCATTTTTCTGGCCTTACAGTCTTTCGATACTTTAAGTCCATTCTTCTTTCCTTTTGTGGATTGTCTTGAAAAAACATAGTATTAACTTTTCCCTCAGATTTCAAATTATGACAGTTTTAAGATTTAAAAAACCTCTCTTCCATCAGGGGAGTCAATGGAAATGTATTTCAGTGCTAGTTGATACACTGACAACTAAAAACAGTTGGTTGCTCAACTTCAACAATAAGAAATGCTCAGGGTGAGAACCACTAACATTTCCAGAAGATTATGCTTAGGCGTATTGAAGTAAAACAAGCAAAGTAGCTTCAGAAGGGGAAAGAGAAGAAAATCTCAGTGTATAAAAACCTCACTTTTTCATCTTATAAGTTTATTGGTCTTGGGGGAGGGGGTGGAAATCAAATTAACTCATACCATTGTCACTACTTATTTCTGTTAGTGTCAATGAGGCACTTTACTAGCTAGTCAATGAGGCATCTCATTACTCATACTGTAAATAGAGGGCAGATCAGTGTCTTATAGATTCCTCTTTTGTACATATTTCTTAAAAGAACTATTTTCCAATTGGCTTTTTCCAATTACTTTTAAATGTGTGGAGGCAAAGGGTATTCTATTTGTACTGCATACTTATGTTTCAAATTTTTTCCTCTACTGTCTCTTCTCAGGGTCCTACTTTTCAAGAGTACTTAATATGTAATTTGTATTTGAAATACATATAGATTATGGTGCAGGGGGTATTTTAAGCTATGAGATCAAAACACCACATAAGTTGTGTAAGTACAACCACCATTATACCACAAACCCACAAACTTCAATGCTACAGACAAGCTGGTGGCAACGGAAGTCTGACATGCAGATTTGAGCCTTTGTAAAAGAGCTGGATTAGAAATTACAGTCTTTCAGGCAACCTTTTAAGGCAATACAAAGACAACTAAAGTTATCAAGGATCTGCTCAGAGAAAAGGTTCTGTTGTGAGCACTGAGTGCTTCCACAATGTACACACTGCATTAACAATATTTGTGTGCTTCCATTAACAAACCTGTATGAAATACTGAACAGTTTTGTCAGAGTGTTTTAAAAGCAAGTTTAATTTTGCATTAAAGATTGGAAAGACAGCCTCAAATAGGCCAAGCCTCTCTACAACAAGGACTTGTGCTAATATTTAAAAACACACCTTCTTTCAATGCTTTCTAAAACCAGGCAGGACATTTCTTTCAAATCTATGAAATATAGAGACCATTAGATTAAGAAGTTATTTGTTTCACTATATAGATGCCTAGGAATAAAGGTTATTCATTACCTCGAGGAAAGCCTCAAGGGTAGGCAAACACTCCCTCTCTTACCTATAAAGTAATGCAGTTTGAAGAACAGAAAGAATGTTCCCACGAAAGAGGCCACACTTGCAGTCTTTGAAATATCAAAGGTGTTACATGACTGCAGAGATCCTTCTTCAGGAACACTAAAAAAAAATCAGATAATCCTCAAGCCAACACTAGAAAAAAAAGCCTTGATTTCACCCAACATCTGATTAGACTATTTCTGTATGGAAAGGTTGTGAATAAAAGATGTGGATGCATCTCTGTTTGATCCCAAACTGCTTCTTGGCACAAGGGGGAGGTCTTGCTCCTTTTCTGGTTCTGTTTCCAGGCACCTTAGGGAAATACTAGATTGTCTGACATTGCAGCAAGGTTGATTAATGCCTAAATGTAGCTAAAGAGATGGTCATGACCAATTCCTCCTCCAAACAGATTTCTGATTCTCCTTAAATGAACATTAGCACTCATGTGACCCCTCAGTGAGTTCACAGTGATAAGAAAAAACACTCTCTGTACAGTTTTTGTCTCGCTTTACCTCCCTGGACCTGCTCACCTTGGGCTCTGATCACCAGCAGCACAGGGGAAGGAACATGCCACCCCCAACAGCAATCTCTTTCCTGCCTCTGTTTCCTGGCTCCAGTGCTTCTTTGTGCAACTTCAGAGAGGGAACTGATAAAAAACAACCTGGGGGGTAACAGGGATTCCTCTTCCCACTCCCAGGGTAGTCCTCTATACCCTTTTCACAGCTAATCTAACTGTTAGACACCACAGAGGCTGGCATTGCTGCTGAGTAAAATTTTCATAACTACACCCTTAGAGCAAGTCTGTAGTTTTACTCAAATTTGACAATCATGATTTATGAAGGCACTTCACTCCTTCCTACACCTTTCCTTGGGCTGTATGTTCCTGCCTCTGCACCATTCTTTGCATTATGCCAGCCCAAATGTTTGTGCAGAAGAGAATAAGGTCATGGAATTGATATGATTGGGAAAAAGTGGAAGCCAAAAGAACCTAGGAAGCCCCCAAGCAAAACAAACAAAATGAAAAACAAACAAAACGCATAGCCAAAATGGCTGCAAAACTGCCAAATGGAAAGCCACAGCTTCAGAGTGCATATAAGCTGTTATGCACCCTTCATTTAGCCATGTATTTACTTAGGACAGAATGAGAATAGAACAAGCCCACAGGTTCTTCCAACATTTTAGAATAACAGACTTGCTTCTGTAGCCCTGCTTCCTAACAACATCCTGGTCTGGAAGAGTGGAGAAGCAAGTGAAAACACTGTTCCCCTGTCTCACTGCTGCAGCATTTGACTTGCCTCCTTCTACTTTCTTTGGCATTTTTGTCCATGTTTTTTGTGCTGGCATCAATGGAAATAGTTTCACTGATTTCAGTGGCAGTTGGGTAAGAGGGTGTGTCCAGGCCTGACACCATCATTAAAGACCCTGGGGTAACTTTATAAAGTTGAGATCACAAGATTACTTGTGAGTAGATCTCATGTTCACATGCTTGCTTCCTTCAAGTTACGTTGGGCTCACTTTTCTGAACCCTATGGAGCAGTCAAAGAACTGAAAATGATACTGTCTTTCTATCTGGAGTTGTGGTCAGGGGGCCAAAGAAAAATAAACCCTCTTTCTCTCTGGCCACAAGAAATGGAAAGACTTATCAAAGCATTGTCCAAAGGTGGCTAAGTTGAAACCTTGTACATATGTACCATGTTTCTTGAAAATTTGAGAGTAAGAGCCCAAAGAATCAGAAACTAAGAAAGACAGATTTCTATCTCTGTTTAGAAAATACACTTGTCCAGAAAATATCATACTTTTTCCAGATTAATGGCAAGGGGAGTTAGGAATTATTCAGTGTCCATTGTAATACAGGTCCATCCTAACAGCACTGGGTATTGGTGTACAAAAATCTATAGTTTCATACACAATGCCTTGCTATGTACATGGATATTATCTGTCTAGCTTATTATCCGAATAATTCACATGGTACTTACATTTCATCATAGTTATTCATACGTTATAAGTAAATAACATGAAAAACAGCTTCTTGACTGCATTTTTATGTGATTATGCCTCAAAACAAAGAATCCCTTGCTACTACATTTTCAAAAACATAGATATCAAATGCTTAATGATCTCTTAGAAGATTTCTCAGTTTGGTAAGGTACTGGGGCTTAGGTGGTCTGAATCAATTTCTGACTCTATCCACAGAAGGCCTTCCACAATCTGGTGCTCACTGTTTTCCAGTTTCCATCTGTAGCAGCAACAGCACAAATAAAGTGCTGTATTTTAACAATAGCATTGTGAAGACTTGCTCTGAGTAAAGCTTTTATGATGCCCTTTCACTACCTCCAATCTAATCCATACTAGTGAGTCCCCGACTAATAGGTCCAGGAGAAACAAATCCTTACTACATACACTAATTTATTTTTCCCCATAGCAGAATCTTGAGGGTTGTTTCATTAATATGAAATTAAAGTCATGAACAGAAAGGAAATAAAACTGAAAAAGGGAATAAAGTAACAGCATAAAATACTTTGAAAGATGTATCTGAAGAAACTCTCTGCCTGGAAACATCATGAGCAGGGAAAGGGGAAAAGGACTTAAATGCTGAAACCAGGGAAGAAGAATTGGACTTTCATTCAAGCTTTACAAACAACTTTTTATTTTCCAAAACAAGCCCAGAACATGAGTCAAATTCTGTCCCCAGTACAGTGAATAAGCAGTTGCTGCAGATTTCTACTAAAATAAAACAATCTTCTATTTTGTCAAATGAACTAAAAATTGGGCACATCTAACCCAAGCTCTTCAGAGACGGATCACATTTGTGCACAGATGCATTAGTGCATAAATAAGAGAATGTTAGGAACTGGAAAGAAGGAACAAAAAGATGGTCTAAAAAGAAAGAAAGAAATCACAGCCCCTCAGCTTACTGCTCACTTACTTACAGCTACTTTGTTTTCTTACACCAAGTTAAACAGTTATTAAAATAAAGATGTAGCAGTCTTAAAACATTATAGTTCTCAAAAAGTAAAAGTAAACTTACATCTCTTGATTGCTGCTCTTATGGATGACAAAGGTCCTTGGCTTATTGAAGAAAAAAAATATTAAAACATGGTTAATGTCTCAAAGAGAAAACAATTAAGTAACATCATGCAAAAATTCCCCATATATTGTAAAGGGTTTGCCAAGCCTGTTTTTTCCCCTATGTTGTTATCCTACAGGAATTTGTCCAAAACTCCTGGACTACACAACCATACCCAACCCCTTTTAATGAAAACCAGGTTACAGCTTGGGTTCAAGACTTTGCAAAGATAGAAAGCCAATTATTAAATCCTTTATTTCTCTCAATTCTGTCTTGAAGTTCACATTCGGTCTCATCTGGGTGTGCATATTCACAGATTATAAGCCTTTAATGACTTAACATTCTCATAAATAAATAAAACTTACCCAGTGAAGTAAAAACCTACAACTCTTTTGTGAAATATTTTTAACAATTACTTAACAATTTGTCTTCCCTTACAGTTGAGATAATATTTTTCAGTAATAACTTGGTGAGTGGGGTTAGGAAGACAACATGACCAAATATTTGCTGATACACAAGGACAGAGAAATGTTTCCTTTTGACAAACTGGTTTCCATAGTAAGACTAAGGCTTCTGATGCCTCTCCTCTGAATATCCTATTTAACAGATACAGCAGTCCCTACTATTTCTGCAAATAAAAATCAAATAAAATTTGGGATTATAATTTTCAGAAATGTTGCAATTTGAAGAACATGGTATTAATATCTTTTCTTCCACTTTGTACTAAGCTACAGAGGAATTAAAACAACACAAACCAACCAGTTCAGAAAAGAAGCGTTTTTCCTCTTTTTTCTCGTTTAAATGCAAGAGATGAACAATATTTATTGATGAGAAGCCTCTGGAAGTGCTGAATGGACTTTTTAAAGGCTGAAAATAAACAGACTTTATCTGGTTCAAATTAATCCAGTATCTAAACAACAAAACAAAGGTATACTAATCAAGCCTTTTCCAGAAACCTTCCAGCACCAGACTTCATCAGCAAGAACGTTAGTACAGGGAGTGCATTAGCACTTTAAGTCTGCTGTAGCTCTGCTGGCATGCAGCACACCAACTCTGTCAGGGCTCACTTTAGTTCCACATGTACGTGCTGGCTGCAATTACTCCAGTGCAATGAAGAGTGGGGGGAATTTGAAGGAGAGAAGAAAGAGACAGTCAAAAAGGATGTAGATAAAAAAGTCCTCCCTCTACAGTCATTCTAGAAACTAATTAAGACTAGAAATGAATGTTGCTCTGACAGAACTGTTTTCTGAAACAGTTTGGCTAGTCTTGGATAAACAATGCCTATTTGTCTGGTTTCAGAAACAGTTCAAATGTGGCTTGGACCCAATCCACACTGCTCACAAAGCTGCTTTAGAAAACATTTCTACCAGTCATATTTCACTGTGCATTTTTAGCAGAAAAGGGTTCTAATTTTCCTTCAAAGTGTCCCATCATAATACAGCTTATCTTTAAGAAACACTTTTAGTTGTGTTCCTCACAGAGGTACCCCAGACTCTTTTCTTAGTTCCTCGTATCTCAAGTCTCTTTCTTTTGGATGTTCATTTTCCAAACTTTATTATTTTGCTTTCATTTCTCTGAATAACTACAATCTTTAGGATTTTAATCGTATTTATTATCAGACAGGGAGAGAAAGAAGACCAAAGTCTGGTAACATGAATCTGAAATCTTCTGGAGCAGCAATAACTTTCTATATGAAGATATCAAGATTTAAGTTTTGTAGGCAGAAATTAGAAAATCTATGAAGCATGCACATTCAAGCATCAGTAAGAGCAAAAAGGAACAAGTTCTTTCCTCCAATGGCAAAAGCCCTTTGACCCATTGCAATTTGCCTCAGAATCTGATAAACACTTTCATATAAAAGCAAGTACTTTTGGCTGGAAATCATAGGAGTTGTCATGTAGACATAAGTTCAAGCTTTCCATATGGCATGAGGGCCAAAAAGATAATTAGAAAGCATTTTTAAAGTCAAAATGCAGAGAACAAAGAAGTAAAACCTTTCATGAAACCAACCTAGTGAAGTTGAAAAATGGATATATTAAGGGCAGCAAGGCAGCTCAAATATGCTACTATCTGTAATTTAGAACCCAGGATAATATGGTTCTATTAGAAAACTTATGAGCTCATAGGCAAAACCAGCAGTAAAAAGAAAATTTTTCTTTTCCACTTTTCCAACAGGTCACTCAGTAAGTTCAGAGGGGATCTGTAAATTGCTGTGCCAGCTATGCTGAAAGCATACTTCCAAGTTGGCAGCAATATGAAAAGGGTCCCATGGGTCACCATTTATGAAAGATAAAGAACCTGTAGCGGTGTGTTTCAAGTTGTTAAACACCTACTCACTCTTGCTGGTAGGCTCTGCTCTGAGTTTCAAGGACAGGTTTTCTAAATATAAGTACTTCGAGAAAATGATTCAAAAGCATATTTTGGATCTGTACATTAGGCAAATAAAATTGCCACAAGGTAGACCAGGCAAAGAGCTGTAAACTGTTCAGTGGAATAAGTACACTTACTGTGCATAAACCATGGTTTCTCCCTCATCACGTGCTCTGCTTCAACACTTCCTTGACTGAGTATTGTCTCTCTTCAAAGATAATTTCATTGCAGCTACCAGGTTTCTCAAAAGGCTGCTCCTGCACCGTTGACTCCTGACCCAACAGAGCAACTGTATGAGCATCACTCACCTTGGCAGTCCCCACAGTGCAGAGAAGGGCAAGTGCTGTTGAAGTGGACTAAAGCTCAAATCACATAGCCATCTCCAAGGGAGCGGGCAGGGACCTGTGTCCGCCCACAGCAGAACAGCTACCTAAACCAAGAGGTCTGGAGGTTCTGGGCTATCTTTTCATCAACCCGGTCCTTTAGCTGGTTCAGGAGCAGCAGAATCTCCAGCCCAGCGGAGGGCACCTCATGGGCACATTCCCACAAGCTGGCTGATAGTGAGGCAGCTTGGCTGTTGAGTGCAAACAGGCAGAGGATTGATGGATTTTACTTACCTCTGGAGATCACAGGCAGGACTGGCTTGTGACTGTCCCCTTCCTGCATGTGAGCCTGCCCACAGCCATCTAGGGAGGGCCTCCCTTGGCTATTTACAGTCTTCTGCTCTACAGGCTGTGATACTGCTTGGGATAAAAAAGACATCCCAAGCTACTAGCCTTCTCATCATCTCTTCATCATCTACTTCTACATCCTCCTATTGGCTCGCATGGGATTCTCAGCAGGAATTGAGCAGACCTTCATATTTCCTGCTCCTTTTATCAGAACTAGGACCTTTAGTTTATTTACCTAAACTGACATAACAATGAATATTCTACAGAAAAACTGATTGCACTTTTTTCATACACCACTCTAAACATACATAAAAACCTAAAGGGGGAAAAAAAGCCAACAAAAATATTGAAAAAGAATAATCAATCGTTCTAAAAATTTAATATTCTGAACCACTTATTCCAAGGTCTCAAAATTTATCCTTTAAGTCAAGTTATATGAAGCTTTTCATAAAGTATCAGTCTTTAGGTTCACATATCCTTGTAAAAGTTAAATGTATGTCTAATTGTGATGGTTATTGACGCTACTTTATACTCAAACACAGAGCAAAAATAATTAAAATGTTGCTATTTTTAAAGTCTTGTGACTTCTTGGAATGTGGGCCAAGAATTTAAAATAGCTCATGCTGAAATTACTGTAAGACAAAACATTAGTTTAATAAAAAGCATCGTATATTCCTCTCAGTTACTTTAGAAATAACGCCATCTTTTTAACAGCCAGTGTACTACAGTGCAACATTCTAAAAACCTTATTAGAAGACATTACTTCAAGCACAAAATGTTTTAAATGTCACCTAAATTATTTCACTGCAGATTGAATTACATAAAGATGGTAATAACTTTATAGCTAAATTAGGGGTGGAGTAAATGATCAGATTTACCACCTCTGCAGGTCAAAGTCAGACATACTAGTTCTACCATAAACCTCCTAAAGCTGAAACAGAAGACTCATAGCTATCCCAAATTCACTATGTTGGCGCAGTAGACAGAACTGTATTAATCCTGTGGAAGTCAATTTGTACTGAAAATGCAGCCACAGTTGTCAGCTGCCTCAATGCCTCCATTGCTGAGGAGCCCCAGTCCTCTACTGATAGTGTAAATAAGCTGACACAGCACATGGAGGCCAGGTGCACTTTCCCCATCAGCGTCAGAGAAGCAGACAGTGCAGAGCCAGTACTCCTGGCTCACCATTTCCACCAGCTCTCTTGTGTTGCTGCTGGCATGGTCACAAGTCTGCTGGATTAGCCACATGATTTTGTTTACAACAAGGAATTCCATCCCAAATATCCTGACTAGTTTTCAGCCAGACAGCCCAACTGCTCCAGCTGGCTGCAGAGCCACATGAGCATCAGGATGGCACCGGAGAAGTGATGAGAGTGGATGGAGAGGCCAGCAGCAGTCCTTGAGGTAAGCAGCTCAGCCTCCTCTGACAAAACAAACCTTAAGTCCATGACTGCCACTAATCTGACAGTAAATCACCAAATGCTGGCTATACCTCATGTCAGCTGTTCTCATCCTTCAGTATCAGCTTATCCATGCTTCAGAAAAGCACCAAAAAAACACACAATTGACAGCAGCCTGTCCCCACAGTCTTCCTGTAAAATGAACACTTGCATGTTCTCTGCTAGATCATGGGGTAGAGTCCTGGCCCTGTGGGTACAGGAGGCTAAAAAAGATCTAGCCACCTAAGAAATCACATGCTCAATAGTATCTATAGATCATCTAGAAATTAAGACTTATCCCTGCACAACTTTACTTCTCCCTTGGGTTCAGCCCCAAAAGCAAGAAATCCTGAACCAGCAATTAAGTCCAGTGACAATTCAATCCTCATCAATATGCTGAGGCTGTCTGCTTCTGCCTCACTTAATGAATGCCACAACAGTGACTTACCACTGTCTGAACAAGTGAAGATGTAGTTAAGCAGTAGCTAAAATCCATCTGCTCTGCTAATTAAAATAGCTCAT